TGTTTTCTTTCCTCCCCTGCCTCCTCACAGACCTTGGTGGCAACGCAAGGTGTGATATTTCCCTCTCCCCACCCTAGTCCAGGAACTGTGAGGAGCAAACTGTTCTCTCTCTCTCTCACTAGCTGACTTTTTAAAAACTTTTCTGCGTTTTCAAAACTGCTACCTCCTCTGCCACACAGCTCCTGAAACTTCATTCTCCATACCCTCATTCAGTGGGTAAGGCCCCAAGGCTCTGGAAACGGTCATATGCTTGAGGTTGGAGAGTGGTAGCTTTTGTCTTAGCTTGGTCAAAGGAAAATTCAGCTCTGGTTCTACCACTTGGGAGGATGACGTGGGGGGACACTTCCTACCCACTCTTTCCAGGGGTGAGCAAGAGATTGAGTCTTCACTCAGATCCAAGGACCCTACTTGATCAGAACTTGGGGATGTTGTTTTCTGGCCAGACCTCTAGGATTCAGTCTGACTCAGATTTCCAGGATGCCTGATGTCTGAGCAGAACTGTCAACGCATCTGAGCTGGGGAAGCCCCCTCAGCCGCCTTTTACTATCAACATGTGACCATTCCTAAAATTTCCTTTTCTTTCTCTTAGTTGCTATCATGGGCAACATTTGGTTGGTATTTTGGGACTCACTCACCCCCCTCATCCCAACAGTTTAGTATATTAAGTAACTGAGAAACTTGGCCTAGAATGAATCTCTTTTTTTTTTTTAAGACGGAGCCTCAAGCTGTCCCCCTGGGTAGAGTGCCATGGCATCACAGCTCATAGCAACCTCCAACTCCTGGGCTCAAGCGAGTCTCCTGCCTCAGCCTCCCAAGTAGCTAGGACACAGGCGACTGCCACAACACCTGGCCATTTTTTTAATTGCAGCCATCATTGTTGTTTGGCGGACCCAGGCTGGGGATTCGAACCTGCCACCTTAGGTGTATGTGGCTGGTGCCTTAGCCGCTTGAGCCACAGGCGCTGAGCCTAGTATGAATCTCTTAATCATAATGCTATTCTACTATTCGACCTTCTATTGCTGCTGGTTCACTGGGGGTTTTAAATCCTCTACATTCAGTTTAACTTGCTAGATTTTCTGATCTTCCCTCTGCCTGACTCATATTACTTCTCACTCTAACATCTTTGTCACTATCTTCACTCTCCAAATGATATTTCTCTTTTGGTTCCTGGTTTCTCCTCCTCCTCCATTTCTACCACTAGCTCTCTAGCCCTGGTGCATGCACCCAAGCCAGCTGCCCAAGTTTCCTCCCTGCTGTGCACCAGTTCCCCCTTCAGTAGACTACAGAGTCAAAAGACATTGTAAGTCACTGCAAGCCGGACGAAAATCCAGCCCTTTTCCTTTCTGACTGTCTGAAGTCTTTTGTCCCTTTACTAACTTGGATCCTGACACCAGAGAAGGACAGTCTATCTTAGCAATGTACTTCACCTCCTGGTCAGCCCCAGTATTTGGTGTAAAGTCCAAAAACATGAAAAGGAACCTCAGACTTTGTGAGCAAAACTTTTAAACCTGGCGTTTAAGGTCCCTGATAATGGGATGGAAAGAGGGAACAGGACTGACAGCAGGCCCAAGCAGAAAAACCTTTTCAAATAGTGGGTGCCACTATAAAGGAGTTTTCCAGAGGAATCACTCAAAGACCCAGGCAAGAAGATACCAACACTGGATCCCTGACCATGCCCTTCCACAGGAACTGAACCCTGCCCCTTCTACGACTATGGATCTCTGGAGTAAAAATACCCCAGGAAGCAGCTTCGGGCTTTGTAAGGACTCTGGAACTCTATTCTCACTACAAAAGGAAGAGGCAGTGGAGGCAGAAAAGCATCCTCAAAACAGGGGACTACACTCACCGCCAGAAGCAGTGGCCCTAAATTGGCATCCTCTATATCCATGGACCCCTGAAACTGCTTCAGTCTGATAGACCCCAACTTAGAAACAGCCTAAATTTCATCACATTGGGTGGGCCAAGACTTAGGTAACTCTCTCTCTGACATGGGTAAGTAAATTGATTTTAACAAACCCTGGAGGGAAGTCCTCTGCTCTTCCTGAATTTTCTGGACCTCTCTACCTCTCCTACCTCCATCATCAGAGTGAAAGATAAAATACAGCCTCACTGTGTATCCCACAGCTTCTCTCCTCGCTTGGAGACAGTCTTTGCTCACTCCTTTTAGTGCTTCCTAGTCACCCCCACTGGGAAAAGACCTTATGTTTTCCTTTTGGAAAACACTTAACTGGGACTTTATACACAACTTCTGGAAAACACTTAAATGGCACTTTACACATAAATCTTTTGCCTTTTCTTGGCATGCTCTGAGCTTTCAAACTAAAAACTTTATGCCTACTTTCACCTAAAAATGTCTACTTCTATGTCTATTATGTTTGCATGTCCATGTATGTCTTGTATATATGATTCACTACCAAAATATGTAAAGGAACTACAGTTGACTCAAAAAGAAGTGTTTACATCAAGTATTTTATTAAGAACATAAGAACTCAAATGCCTGTTATTTCATGTAATCTTGGTAACTTTTGGTAAATGAAACTAATTTAAAAATTGTTATTGGCTCAGCGCCTATAGCTCAACCGGCTAAGGCGCCAGCCACGTACACCTAAGGTGGCGGGTTCGAATCCCCAGCCCGGACCCGCCAAACAACAATGATGGCTGCAACCAAAAAATAGCCGGGCGTTGTGGCGGGCGCCTGTGGTCCCAGCTACTTGGGAGGCGGAGGCAGGAGACTCGCTTGAGCCCAGGAGTTGGAGGTTGCTGTGAGCTGTAATGCCATGGCACTCTGCCCAGGGGGACAGCTTGAGGCTCTGTCTCAAAAAAAAAAAAATTGTTATTAAAGGCCTGGTGCAAGGGGCTCACGCCTGTAATCCTAACATTCTGGGAGACTAAGGCAAAAGGATTCTCTGAGCTCAGGTGTTCAAGACCAGCCTGAGCAAAGAGAGACCCCCATCTTTACTAAAAACAGAAAGACTAGCAGGTGCCATGGTAGGCACCTACAGTCTGAGTTACTTGACAGACTCAGACAAGAGGATCACTTGAGCCCAAGAGTTTGAAGTTGCTGTGTACTATGATGCCATAGCACTCTACCCAGGATGACAGAGTGGGACTGTCTCAAAAAAATAAAATAGTTACTAAAGTTTAGATGTTTTAACATCACAATTAATACATCAGTGAAAATAACTACATCTGAAATAGCCACTGAAAACAGTCATACTGCAGAAGATTTTTTTTCTTTGCTTCTTTGGTGGCCAGACTGAGAGAGACAAGGATTTTATGCTTAATCAAAATAATCCCTGTTGTCTTTGTTGGTTTATGCTCTAACAATATGCCGTAGTAGCTATGGCTCCTTATTGCCCTTTCCTCTTTATACTTCTTGCGCCATTCTACAAATACTGCCACAGGCTATTTTACAGACCAGACCTGTTAACTCTTTGCCCATACTGAGAACCTGAATAATAATAACCTTACTCTCCAATATATCCCACTACAGGTGCTTTATTTGCCTACAGTCTGAAAGGCTTTCTACCTCCTCAAAACTATAAGCTCTTGCCAAGCATAGCCTTAGTTTTCTTGTCTAGCACTTCTCTTAAGAGTTTCTTGGCTAGGTTCCCTAATGTCTCTTCTTTGAGTTCTCATTTTTGGATCCTGCATTCTCTGCTAACTGGTAACGTAACATCCATACAGCACCAAATTCAGGCCTTAGCTATTTCTCTCCAGTGAAGCTCCATCCTGCCTCTAATCTAGCTTTCAAGACTTTCCATTGTCAGCTGCTCTCCCTTACTGATTCCAATGAACTCCTCCATAAAAAGGTCTCAGCGACCGTTGCCTGCCTGAAATAGCTATAGAAGAAAGACCTCAGCCCATTGTTTCCCTATTTCTGAATTCAGTTAAATATAAATTTTAGTTTTAACAACAGAAAAGGGGGAAATAAAAGGACGACCTTAATAGCTAAATAAGAGAAAAATTATTACCTCATAGTTTTACAGTATAGGCTAAGATCAATCAAATGAGCAGCTCTCTCCCTAGCTGACTCTTTTATAACTGTTTTTGAAAATGTTTTACAGCCCTAAAGTTTCTGGACAGCAGGGGGTGCTAGCTACAGGCCTCAGTTTCTGCTTCAGGGGCAGAATCAATGACACCACCACAAGCATCAATTATCCACCTGCCACTAAGAAGTGCAGATATAGCATTCACAGTATGCTGATTTGGCTTCAGTCACAAATCCTTTTTGTCCCCTTTTCAACTTCTCACTAAAAGACTGAGTACTTGATCCTTTCAGCCAACACTCTCTCTCTCTCTTTCATTGTGCTGGTCATACTGGTCGTGCTGGGCCTGGTCATTTTCTGCCTGAGAAAAGTAAAATAAACTTCTTTCTATTCTAATCTTTGGAGAAATCTTTCTCAAAATCCATGTCCACTAGTTCATACCCTAACAACTGCCTTGGCCAAGAAGAGTGGGGAGTAAACTTGCAGGCAATATATTACTTCTAGGGTTGCAAGCCCGCATAAAGGCCAAAAGTAGTTTCGTAATTCTTCTAAATTAAAAAGTATTGATAATACCCATAGAGATTTGAGGCTGAAATGTATTATTCTTTGGGTAACGTTGCACACACCCTGTCCTACTATAAAAAGCACTAGCTCTAAACAGGATTAGCCAGGAATGAATTCCTGTTAACCATCTTTGTGGGTAGCAAATTGTGCCCTCAGGGAATAATGTTTTTGACTCAGGGCAAAGAGACTGTAGTCTCCGGTGGGAAGGAGGCTGAACAAAATTAGCTTTCTTTGGCTTCTGAAGTAACACCCTTTGGATTAAAAGCTTCTGCTTACCTCTATACAAACAACCCTCTTTGGGACCTTTCTGAGAGGCAGGATTCTGTGAAGGTAGCCAAGCCCCAACTACGATTTTCAAAACGTCCGCGCCCGGGGCGGGGCCAAATGCCCGACCGGAAGGAGCGGCCCGGAAGGGGGCGGTGGCGCCGGAGGGATGACGCAGGAGGGGTCGCGTCGGAGGTGACGCGTGGCGTAGACGTGACGGCTGTGCCTGTCACTCCCGCGGGTTTGCTGCGGAGGAGGAGCGGGCGCCATGGCGGTTCTGCTGGAGACCACTTTGGGCGACGTAGTCATCGACTTGTACACCGAGGAGCGGCCGCGCGGTGAGACCTTCGCCCCACTCAGCTCTCGCCGGGGCCGACCTCGTTCTCTTACTCTCCCTTCTCTCCACAGTCGCCGGCTGCCACTGGGTCGAACTGGCGAGCTGCTGGCGCCAGCGACCGGGCTGTTTATTAGTGGGTGGTTAGGAAAGTTTTTGTGAGAATTTGTTTGAGCCTCAGCCGCTTTTCTTCCTTATCTTGTCTTGGCCAGCCGGCTTTGCGGTCATTAATTGCCTTTGGGGGCGTGTGTGTGTGAGAAGAGATACGCGTGCTGCATATTCAATACCTATGGCTTTTGTAGCTTTACTGTGCTTTCTTTTCTCGTGAGAGGAACGTAACTGTTGGTTGGCGTGTCATCAGTTACGTCTCCGTCAAAGCGGGTAGGATGTGCTTGGGGCAACGAACGTGGGCATCCCGCGTGCAGGGAGGAAGGGGGTGTCCGGGAGTGTGAACGGAGCCTGCAAGGCCCTGGACTAGAGTCGAGCTAGGCATCTTGCCTTTGAGGGTTTGATTTTCCATTGAGGGAAGTTAACGTGGGAACTAATTTTAATTTTTAAGTGTTGTAGGAGAAGAATGTTTAAGTTGCCTTGGAAACCAGAGGAGGAAATAATTCTTGCCTGGTGAGGGCGAAGAGAATCGAAGCAAGCGAAGACTTTAGAACACTTGAACTAGCTCGTTCAAAGACAAGTGGGAATTAGGGTTTTCTTTACTTGGAATTTTCTGTAAACAGCAGGTAGTTTAACGGCACTGCCCAAAAGGAATGGTATGAGTAGTTGTGGAATGGCAGGCTGTGAGTCTGGTTAGATACTTTTAGGTCGAGTATAATAGCTTTGTGTGCCATACTGATGACCAGAGTCTTTGAAGATTGTAAAAGCAGTACTGAGGCATGGCATATTTGTTTTGGGAGAATAATAGGCAGCAGTGTGGAAACTGGCTCAGAGTAGGGAGAAACTGGAGACCAGTTAGTTACAATCAGGGTCCTACCCCCATGGAATGCAGAGCTTGTCAAAGGGGTTAAACAAGCTGCCTTATTGTAGCTGGTGCTACATTAAATGCCTCATGCCTTAAAACACTTTCTCCCGCACTAATCTACCTATTTCCCCCTCCTCCCTGCCTCCCCTTAAAACACTGCAAACTCTCCTATACCATCCTTTCCAAGTTGTTCTCTTGCTGTTGCCTCTAACACACATTCATCTCCATTCTTGTTTTTCTGGCAAACTTTAGATTTTTTTTTGAGACGGCCTCAAGCCATCCTCCTGGGTAGAGTGCCATGGCATCACAGCTCACAGCAACCCCAACTCCTGGCCTCACGCGAGTCTCTCCCAAGTAGCTGGGACCACAGGTGCCCATCACAACGCCTGGCTATTTTTTTTTTTTTTTTGGTTGCAGCCATCATTGTTGTTTGGTGGGCTGGGGCTGGATTTGGACCCGCCACCTTAGGTGTATGTGGCTGGCACCTTAGCCACTTGAGCCACAGGTGCCAAGCCCAAACTTTAGATCTTAAATCAAACATGTTCTCTGTGAAGCTCTCCCTCCTCCTTAAGCAGAGTTATTTGTTTCTTCCACTATGTCTCAAGTCTTTATTTTATAAACTACGAGACATATTTACCTAGTTTCCTGAAATTATTTAAAAGTCTTATCTTCTCTCAAGAATGTAAGCGTCAATGAGAGCAGGAACTGTACCTTCATTACCTCTATATAGCTTGAGTACTTTGTGTGCCTGCTATTTTGAGGGCACACATTAGAGGTTCATTTCATTGACTAATGCATATAAATGTCTTGAATTAGTTAGCACTGTGCAAGTGATAGAAACCTTACTCAAACTGTCTTAAATAAAGAAGATAATTGATTGCCTCATGTTCCTGGGGTAAACATGGCTTTAATGACCGGATCCAGGGTACAAAAGAATAGATATTGCAGGGCATTGTTTTTTTTGCAGTTTTTGACCGGGGCTGGGTTTGAACCTGTCACCCCCAGTATATGGCGCCCTACTCCTTGAGCCACAGGTGCCACCCCAGGGCATTTATTTATTTATTATTTTTATTTATTTATTTTGAGAAAGAGTCTCACTTTGTCACCCTTGGTAGAGTACCTTGGCATCATAGCTCATAGCAACCTCAAACTCGTGGGCTCCAGTGATTCTCTTGCTTCACTGGAGTAGCTGGGACTACAGGTGGCTGCCACAGGACCAGGCTATTTTTAGACAGGAGATCTTGCTCTTGCTCAGGTTGGTCTTGGACCCATGAGCTCAGGCAATCTATCTGCCTTGGCTTCCCAGAGTGCTGGGATTACAGGTGTGAGCCACTGTGTGCTGGCCTATAGGGCATTTATTTTTAATGTTTAATTTTTTTTTTTAGTAACCACTAAATGAAGGAATTTTATTTTTTATGTCTTGGTTTTGTTTTTCTTTGATTTCCTTTGACATTCTATCCATGTAGAGCAGTACCTAGCAAATGAAAGGGCCACTTTCCTCAGTTATGAGGAACTAAAGGAGAGGGAAGGTTATTCCACCTAATTAACAAGCAGTGGTTCTACAAAGATACACACTGGAACACCAAAAACATAAGTCCACCCCATGCGTATGTATTTGCACTCATATGATTGGATATCTACTTATCTTTATACCTACTTATCAATCTGTAATAAATTTATTAAAAGTTACCTACTTCCTCCCTTTCTTTTCTTTTCTTTTCCTTTTTTTTTGTGAGACAGAGTCTCACTCTTTTGCCCAGGATAGAGTGCCATGGCATCAGCCTAGCTCACTCAGGCAATCCTCCTGCCTTAGCCTCACAGGTAGGTGGGACAGAGCCTCAAGGGGCTCTGGGTAGATGCCTAGGTAGAGTGCCATGGCATCACAGCTCACAGCAACCTCCAACTTCTGGGCTTAAGCCATTCTCTTGTCTCAGCCTCCCAAGCAGCTGGGACTACAGGCACCCGCCAAAATGCCCAACCATTTTTTGGTTGTAGTTGCATTGTTGTTTGGCAGGCCTGGGCTGGATTCAAACCTGCCATCTCTTGTGTATGTGGCTAGTGACTTAGCTGCTTGAGCTACAGGTGCCGAGCCAAATTTTTCTATTTTTTAGTAGGGTCTTGTTCTGGCTCAGGCTGTTCTTAAAGTGAGAGTTCAAGCTGTCCTCCCGCCTTGGCCTCCCAAAGTGCTAGGATTTATATGGCCTGAGCCTCCATGCCCGACCTCTTTTTTTTACTTCTTAGAGAAAATTTGAAACATACAGAAACAGAGAGAATCATGTAAATGAACTCTCATGTACCAATGACTAGCTTTGTTTAACAGTTGTCAACACAGTCAGTCTTACTTCACTCATAATACCTCCATCTCCACTAGATGTATTTGATCTTTCATTACTTCAGCATGTATCTCAAAAAGATAAGGACTTTTTAAAAAGAAACAGAATCACAAATCATTATCATACCTTGAAAACATTAGTAATAATTCCTTATATCATTTAAACTTTCCTATTGTCTCACATTTGTTTTTTTTTTTTGAGACAGAGCCTCATTTTGTCACTGTTGGTAGAGTGCTGTGGCATCACAGCTCACAGCAACCTCCAACTTCTGGGCTTAAGCGATTCTCTTGCCTCAACCTCCCAAGTAGCTGGGACTACAGGCGCCCACCATAACACCCCACTATCTTGGGGTTGTAGTTGTCATTGTTTTTGGCAGGCCCGGGCTGGATTCTAACCCACCAGCCACGGAGCATGGGGCTGGTGCCCTAACCACTGAACTATGGGCACCCAGCCAGTTTAAGGACATTTGTGACGACAGTACCAAGCATCAGTAAATGTTTTTTATATGCAAATGAGTTTATATGAGACAGCTTGTTCATGATAAGCATAATTTTTGTGAAGGGCTGTTTAACCACTGTACAAAAAAAAATTTGACCCTGGACATTTGATTTTTCCTAATTTATGTAATCTGTACATATATTCTGCTTTCCCATTATATTATCTCTTTTATTTATCATTATAGTATCTCTTTAATTAGTTTTCTTTCTTTTTTTTCAAGTGATCCTTTTACCTCAGTTTTTCTTTGTTTTTTTTTAGTAGTTTTTGGCTGGGGCCAGGTTTGAACCCACCACCTCCGGTATATGGGGCTGGCGCCCTACTCCTTTGAGCTATAGGCGCCACCCCCAGTTTTTCTACTTTTAGTAGAGACAGGGTCCCATTTTTGCTCAGGATGGTCTCGAACTTGTGAGCTCAAGCAATCCACCCACCTTTGACCTCCCAGAGTGCTAGGATTATAGGCATGAGCCACTGTGGCCGGCCTAATTAGTTTTTTTCTATTATAAAATCAATTTATCAATAAATTATTGTTTATTCCAGATAAGTGTCAATTTCCTGCATTAGCTCAGATGTCAAAAAAATCCCAATGGTTGTAAAAGAGAAAATTTTGCTTTTTTTCCTGGACTTATTGCCAATATTTATAGTTTTGGGTATTTGGCTTGTTTGTTTGTTTTTCTTTTAATGGTGACTTAGAAAATAATTATACTATACTTTTACTTGTTTAAAAATGTATTTGTGGATTACTGTGATGAATTTAGTATTTACTCTTTTTCAGCCTGCTTGAATTTCCTGAAGTTGTGTAAAATAAAATATTACAATTACTGCCTTATTCACAATGTACAGGTAAGTCGGTGGAAATTACTCATGTTTTTTGTTACTGAAACCACATAGTAAATTCTGTTAATAAAGAATCTTATATATTATAGAGGGATTTTATCATACAAACTGGTGATCCTACAGGGACTGGCCGTGGAGGAGAGTCTATTTTTGGGTAAGTTCTTAGTCTTAAATGAGGAAAAATAGAATTGTTCATGTTTCAATCTGCATTTTAAAATATGGTTTAAATTTAGGATTTTTCTCCAAATTCCCCAAACATATATCTTAACAAAGAAAAATACTTTGAATCATGGGGCATTTCTATAAGGAAATGGTTGATAACTGTTCATGTTACTAGTACTTTTCTGTTTCATTTTAAGGCTACATATATTTTATAACCTTTTATTTATTTTCAGTCAACTCTATGGTGATCAAGCAAGCTTTTTTGAGGCAGAAAAAGTGCCACGAATTAAGCACAAGAAGAAAGGCACGGTGTCCATGGTGAACAATGGCAGTGCTCAGCATGGATCTCAGGTCAGGAAATAGAAGATGAGCTTGGCTTAGGGGTGAAGGACTGGAAGGCACCCACAAAGTTAGCTTTTGTAACTATCCAGTAAGGAGAGAGTTTCAATCAAAGATTCTTGTTAGGAGAAAAAGTTGCCCTTTTCAAATATTATAACAGCATTTTGTTCTCTTACATGTAAGGCATACCCATTGTGAGGAAATTAGAAAACACACAGAAGTACAAAGAATACCCACACTTCTACCATCCATGATTATTACTGTTCACATTTATGGCTCATTTGTTTTCAATGTTTAATTCTTTTTTAATAGTGTATTTTATTGAGTACCTTTCATTCATTGTCTTATTTAATCCTCATATCAACTCCATTGGTGTAGGTCCTTCATTTTCCACTGTATTCACATAAAAAAGTTGAGCCTTGATTTGTCTTAGTATTTTAAACAATGAGGGGAACATCTATGTATGTGTTGATATTTTATACCTTGGAGATATTATGGGCTTGGTTCAAGACTACCATAATGGCTCGGCGCCTATAGCTCAACTGGCTGAGGCACCAGCCACGTACACCTAAGGTGGTGGGTTCGAATCCCCAGCCCGGTCCCGCCAAACAACAATGATGGCTGCAACCAAAAAATAGCCGGGCGTTGTGGCGGGCGCCTGTGGTCCCAGCCACTTGGGAGGCGGAGGCAGGAGACTCGCTGGAGCCCAGGAGTTGGAGGTTGCTGTGAGCTATAACGCCACGGCACTCTGCCCAGGGGGACAGCTTGAGGCTCTGTCTCAAAAAAAAAAAGACTACCATAATACAGTAAATATTGCAGTAAAGCAAATTGTATGAATATTTTGGTTTCCCAATGCATATAAAAATTGTATTTATGCTATACTGCATAAATACTGCAGTGTATTAAGTGTCACAGTAGCACTATTTGGTTTCCTAGTGCGTATAAAAATTGTATTTATGCTATACTGCATAAATTGATACTGCAGTGTATTAAGTGTCACAGTAGCACTATGTCTAAAAGCACAATGTACATACCTTAATTTAAAAAAATACTTTATTGCTAAAAATGGCTACTAATCATCTGATCCGTCAGCAGGTCATAATCTTTTTGTTGGTGGAGGGTCTTGCCTTGATGTTGATGGCTGCTGACTAATAGGGTGGTTGTTGCTGGTAGTTAGGATGGTTGTGGCAATTTATTAAATTAAGACAACAAAAAATTTGCCCTGTTGATGGACTTTCCTTTCATCAAAGATTTTTCTGTAGATGTGATGCTGTTTGATAGCATTTTACCCACAGTAGGACTTCTTTCAGAATTGGAGTCAGTCCTCTGAAACCCTGCCACTGCTGTATCTGTTTAGTTGATACAATATTCTTAACAAAGGGGAAACTCTGTAGATTAACCATCCTAGGGACTGTAGTAAACCGGTCAACATACGAGATGGTCAGCATAAGGAACTTTCATTGAGTACATGTAGTGCATGACTGGTCTGTGAAAATTAGTTCAACTTGAAGTAGTCAGCTGTGGAGGTTCTATTATACTTGGTTGTCATTTCAACAGTGTTGACACTGTCTTCACCAAGAACAGATTTCATCTCAAGAAACCACTTCCTTTCTCATCTTTAAGAAGTAATTCCATGGGTGGCACCTGTGGCTCAGTGAGTAGGGCACCAGCCCCATATACTCAGGTGGCAGATTTGAACCTGGCCCCAGCCAACAAAAAATAGCCGGGCATTGTGGCAGGTGCCTGTAGTCCCAGCTAATCAGGAGGCTGAGGCAAGAGAATTGCCTAAGCCCAAGAACTAGAGGTTGCTGTGAGCTGTGATGCCAGCAACTGAGGGTGACAAAATGAGACTCCGTCTCTTAAAAAAAAAGCAATTCCACATCCTTTCAATAGTTCAGTCACATATTCTAGTTCTGTTTCCACCAAGTCTACAGTTGAACCTCAAAGTCATCCATCCATTTCAATCATCTTCTTCCAAACTCCTGATAATGTTGGTATTTTGAATGTTCTTAATGGCATCTAGAATCCTTTCCAGAAGGTTTTCAATGCATAATATTTTGCCCACATTCATCAGAGAAGTTACTATCTATGGTATCTGGCTTATGAAATGTATTTCTTTATTTTTATTTTTAGAAATGGGGTCTTGCTGTGTTGCCCAAGCTAGGTTCAAACAACCCTCCTACCTGTTTGGACTCTATGTGCACAACACCACACCTGGCCATATTTCCTTTTTTTCTTTTCTTTTCTTTTTTTTTTTTGTGTTAGCAGACATGAAACATTAATCGCCTAGCTACATCTCCATAAGAGTTCCTAGGTTACCAGGTGAATTACCAATGAGCAATCATCTTTTAAAAGGAAAAGCATTTTTCTGAGCAGTAGGTCTGAATAGTGGGCTTAAGATATTTAGCAAACTCTACTGTAAATAGATGTGCTATTATCCAGGGTTTGTTGTTCCACTTATATGATTTAGGCAGAGTTGATTTAGCATCATTCTTAAGGGTCCTAAGATTTTTTTTTTTTTTTAAAGACAGAGTCTCAAGCTGTCACCCTGGGTAGAGTGCTGTGGCATCATAGCTCACAGCAATGTCAAACTCTTAGGCTTAAGCAATTCTCTTGCCTCAGCTGCCCAAGTAGCTGGGGCTACAGGCACCTGCCACAATGCCTGGCAATTTTTTTGTTGTTGTTGCAGTTGTCATTGTTGTTTTAGCTGGCCCAGGCTGGGTTTGAACAGGCCAGCCTTGGTGTATGTGGCCGCCACCGTATCCACTGAGCTACAGGCACCGCCAGGGTCCTAAGATTTTTCAGAATGGTCAAAGATCTTTGGCTTCAGCTTTATCATCAACTGCATTAGACCCTATCAAGAGACTTGGCCTGTACTTTGAAGCTTTGAAGCCAGGCATGATTTCTCTTTTCTAGCTATGAAACTCCTAGAGACATCACTCCAATATAAAGCTTTTTTTTTTTTCTTCATGGAAAATCTGTTATTTCATGTATCCACCATGATCAGTGATTTTACCTACATATCTGGATAACTTGATGCAGCACTTGATGCTTCACCTTGTACTTTTATGTTGTGGTGATGGCTTCTTTCCTTAAATGTCATCAAAACTTAATTAGCTTCAAACTTTTTTTCTGCAGCTTTCTTACCTTTCTCATCTTTCATAGAATTGCAGAAAGTTAGGGCCTCGCTCTAGATTAAGCTTTGGCTTAAGGGAATGTTAGGGCTGGTTTGTTCTCCTATCCAAAGTACTAAAACTTTCTCCCTGTCAGCAGTAATACTATTTTGTTTTGTTGTCATTCATTTGTTCTCTGGAGTAGCACTTCTAATTTTCTCCAAGAACTTTGCATTTACGAGTGGACTAACTAGTGCAGGAGTCCTTAGCCTTCAGCCTATTTTGGCTTCCAGTGTGCCTTCCTTGATAATCTTAATCATTTCTAACTTTTGATCTAAAGTGAGAGGTATGCCATTCTTCCTTTACTTGAACATTCAGAGTCCATTGTAAAGTTATTAATTGACTTAATTTCAGTACTGTGTGTCTCAAGGAACATTGCAGCTCAAGGCGCAGGAAAGAGATGGAGGAACAATATTTATTTATTATGATTAATTATGTCATGTTTATATGGGCACAGTTTGTGGAGCCCCCAAAACAATTATAATAGTAACATCAAAGATCACTGATCACAGATCATCATAACAGATATAATTGTAATGAGAAGGTTTGAAATATTGGCAGAATTACCAAAACGTGACACAGAGACAGAAACTAAGCACATGCTATTAGAAAAATACACCAGTAGACATGCTTGACACATGGTTGCCACAGACCTTCCATTGTAAAGGACAATAAAATAAAGTTTTCATGGATAGTATTTGTACTTTTTACTTAGTCTCATAATAAGTATGTAAAAATTGGTTCAGTAAATGTAGTCTTTCTTTTTTAAGTATGTATTTTTTTGGAAGTCTGTAACTGATTTCAGTTTGAATTATATATTTTTTTGTATTATGTATTTTTCTATATAGTTTCTTATTACTACAGGAGAAAATCTAGATTACCTTGATGGTGTTCATACAGTGTTTGGTGAGGTGACAGAAGGCATGGACGTAATTAAGAAAATTAATGAAACTTTTGTTGACAAGGACTTCATGCCATATCAAGATATCAGGTGTGTACTAGAATGTTTTAACAACTGTGATATTTGATGTAGTGGTATGTGTAGCTCTGGTTTGTCCAAACAAGACTATAAGAATCTTATTAATGAAAATGACCTTTTATATTTTTTTTATATTTATAATAATTATTTATAATTGCTTATGTTGGGTGAGAGGATAATTTTTGTTGAATAATTAATGCTTTAATTTGGTGTATGTGTGTGTGGGAAGTCCCTCTGCTTGAAGCTTTTGGTTTTTGAGGGGTTTGTTTGTTTTTTGAGACAGAGTCTCATTTTGTCGCCCTCAGCAGAGTGCTGTGGTGTCACAGATCACAGCAATCTCAAACTGTTGTGCTAAAGTGGTCCTCCTGCCTCAGCCTTCCGAGTAGCTGGAACTACAGTGCTTGCCACAATAGGGCAATTTTTGTAGAGACGGAGGTTGGTCTCGAACCCTGAACTCAGGCAATCCACTCACCTCAGCCTCCCCGAGTGCTAGGTTTACATGCCTGTGAGCCACCATGCTTGGCCTTGTTTTTGTTTTTGTTTTTTGAGACATGATCTTGCTCTTTTGCCTAGGCTGAAATGCAGTGTGATCATAGTTCACCACAACCTCAAACTCCTGGGCTTAGGGATCTTCCCGACTAAGCCTCCTGGGTGGCTGGAACTATAGGCACATGCCAACACACCACCTAAATTTTAAATTTTTTTGTAGAGATGGGGTCTTGCTATGTTTTCCAGGCTGGTGTTGAACCCCTGGGGTCAAGTGATTCTCCTGCCACAGCCTCCCAAAGTGCTAGGATTACCAGCCTGCACTCACTGCATGCTTGGCCATATTTAATTTTTTAATGCAAATTATTGAGAAATAGGACAAAAGTACTAAAATTTAGATACTTATGTTCGTTTTCATCTTAAAGTAATTTCAGGGTAGTAACTATGATACCAAACAGTGAAAAACAGTAGCACCTATTATGATAATATGCTTAGATTAGTAATATCTTTGTGCAATATGGAAGATTAATAATATCCTTGTGTAGTATGGAGATTTTTTGGCATTAGATATGAAAGTTATTATTTTTAATCTATGAAAATAAAATAATGGATTTTGAAATAAATGTAACATTTGATCTTGATTTATTTTGTAAGGATAAATCATACAGTAATTTTAGATGATCCCTTTGATGACCCTCCTGATTTATTAATTCCTGATCGCTCACCAGAACCTACGAGGGAACAATTAGATGTAAGTGGAGACTTTTTATGATTAAGTGTGCATGCTTATTAATGATTTGCAAGGATTTAGCTTTTTCATCTATTAGAGCATATTTCTTCACAAGTATTATTACTTACCTTGCTTAATTATAGTAGAACAAGTTTAGAGTTCTTTTTCTCTGCACAGAGATACTCATTTTTCTAGCTATCTTTTCATTTTCCTAATTTTGTTTTTTCCATTTCTGTTCTGCTGGAACACCCTTAGCTCTGGAAGCTTTATGAACATGGTGGGAAAGTTTTTCTTACCTCTAATTCTAGTTAGGAGTATCTCTTTAAGGTTAAATTAAACCATCATCTTGTGAGGAAACTTTTCAATTAGAGATACCCTAGAACCCAGAAATTTTTGTGGAATGGCGTAAACTTTCCCCCCAGGAGTTTTAATACGATTTCTCAAAGCTAATTTATCTTTGTGGTTGGGATTGGTGCATATTTATGAGATCATTTATCTTCTTCATTCAGCAATTAGTTGGATAACAGTGTCTATGTAATGTTTATTTTGATTTTTATAATCAGAAACCTAATCCAGGCAACATTTTAGAATTAATTTAATTCAATTTTCAAAGGTTTATAAATTTGTTTCATATGCTACTTTAGCATGTTTGATTGTAATAAAGAATAATGTCATCAATATTTTTCAGAGTTTTTATTCTTTAAATTCATATATCAGTAAATTCTACCTTCTAGAGTGGTCGAATAGGAGCAGATGAAGAAATCGATGATTTTAAAGGAAGATCAGCTGAAGAAATAGAAGAAATAAAGGCAGAAAAAGAGGCTAAAACTCAAGCTATTCTTTTAGAAATGGTAAGTTAATTGTTTTTTCAAGTAGTCGTTTCCCAGTATATTTAATGCATACTCCTTGAGAGTTTATTCTTGGCTCTTTTTTTTTTTGAGACAGGGGCTCGCTCTGTTGCCCAGGCTAGAGTGCCATGGCATCAGCCTAGCTCACAGCAACATCAAAGTCCCAGGTTTAAGTGATCCTCTTGCCTCAGCTGGGACTACAGGCATGTGCCATAATGCCAAGCTAATTTTTTTTATTTTGGTAGAGGTGGGGTCTTGCTCTTGCTCAGGCTGCTGGGGTGCTCCTGGCCTCAAAGACTTTTCCCACTTCAGCCTCCCAGAGTGCTAGGATTACAGACATGAACCATCATGCCTGGCATATTTCTGGCTTTTTGACAGCCTTCAAATATTAAACATTTAGTCAATAATTTTTTAGATTAAATTTGGTTATTATGTAATAATGCATGTGAAAATAAATTTGGCTCGACTTTCAATGTAGTGCTAAGTGCCTTTCTAAAAAATGCGAGGTAGATATCTAACTTATAAACATTAATTGAATTTCAGTTGTTTAATATTCATCTCATTTTTCATTTTTTTTGTAATAAAGTCTTGAGCATTCATGTCTTTTTTTTTTGAGGAGTTAATTTTTTTTTATTGTTTGGGATGCATTGAGGTTATAAAGAATTAGGTTACACCGATTATATTTGTTAGATAAAGTCTCTCTTATAATTGTGTCTCGCCTCCAAGAGGTGTGCCATACACTGTGGCCCCCCTCGTCTCATTTTTAAACAGTGTTTATTAGGCTGAATTTTATGTGGATTAAAAGAATAATGATTTATTATATTACTTGTGTATCAAAATTAAATAGTAGAATATTAGTTGAAGGGTAAAATAAATCTGGGTTGAAATTCAATGCTTTTAAATACACTCCTTTTCTGTATCACTAATAGTATGAAGTTATTTGGGAACAATTATTGAGTAGATGATTAATTGACATAAGTAGGTATTGTTTACTGTTTGTTATTTTTGTGGAATAGATGTACTTATCACATAGTAGATAATAAATATTTGAATGAATGGATAATAAAGTTTTTGTTGTTACTTCATATAATAGAACTTTCATATTTGTGGTCTGTTTTAAAATTTACATTGGCATCACAAGTCTGAACAAATATTAAAAGCTATAATTGAAAATTTGACTGAAACTTTAAAAATTGAAAAAAATACCCATTTTTAATGAGTACACTGTGTATCTGAGAATATTGAACCAGAGTAAATAAATTAATGGAGTTAAAGATCTTTGGAGCAATTGGACAAAAAGAATAAGCGAAAGAATTTTAAATTCTTACCAGACTTTTCAATAAAAACAGTTTAGGAAATTTATGCCAGAAGAAAATATATTGCTTTATTTTTCTTTTCTAAGACAGAGAACTTGCTCTGTCACCTAGGATAGAGTACAGAGGTGTCATTGAACTTTTGGGCTCAAGCAATCCTCTTACATCTGCCTATCCGGTAGCTGGGATTACAGGCATGCACCACCATACCCAGCTAATTTTTTTATTTTTTATAAAGACGGGATCTCCCTGTTGCCCAGGCTAACCTCTAACGCAGGCTAACCTTGAAGTGATCCTCCTGCCTTGGTCTTTCAAAATGCTAGGATTATAGGTGCGAGCCACCATTCCCAGCCTCTTTAGTCTGGAAGAGCTCCGTAACCTGTTTTTATTTTTCATAACATTAACATTTTTGAAGAATGCAGATCATTCATTTTATAGAATATTTTTGAATTTAGGTTTATCTACTTTTGCCTCATGATAGTTATGCACTCATAGCCAAAATAATATCTGAGTAATGTGTGTCTTCCTCAGATGTCACATCTGGAAGTGTATGACATTCTCCTGTCCCTCAGTGGAAAATAGTAATTTTGATCACCTAGTTAAGGTAATCCCCTGCCTGGTGTCTCCAATAAATAATCTGTGGCAAGAAACTTTGAGACCTTTCAAATATCTTGTTCCTTGTCAAATTTTCCCTTTAAATTTCTTTTTTTTTTTTCTTCCTTGAGACAGAGTCTCACTATGTCACCCTGGATAGAGTGCCATGGTGTCACAGCTCCCAGCAACCTCTAACTCTTGGGCCTAAGCAATTCTCTTGCCTTAGCCTCCCAAGTAGCTGGGACTACCGGCGCCTGCCACAACACCTGGCTACTTTTTGGTTGTAGTTGTGGTTTGGCAGGCCCAGGCTGGATTCAAACCCGCCAGCTTCAGTGTATGTGGTTGGTGCCCTAGCTGCTGTGCTACAAGCGCCAAGCCTTCCCCTTAAATTTCTTACCCATTCATGATTTTTTCCTGACAGTCTTCATTCTGATCAGTCCAAAATGGTAATTTCTTAACTCTTCCACTCTTTTCCTCAATTATTTGCATTCTACTGGAAGGAAGAGTCCTCTTTTCTTTTTTTTTTTTTTTTTTCCGCATTTTTTGGCTGGGACTGGGTTTGAACCTGCCACCTCCAGCATATGGGGCCGGTGCCCTACTCCTTTGAGCCACAGGCGCTGCCCAAGTCCTCTTGTCTTATTGGCTTATCTATCTATTCAGTATCAGTGTGGACTCATGAATTCATTTTCTTGTTTTATTTTTAATAAATAGGCTGCTTTTTAGAATAATTTTAGGTTTATAGAAAATGAACAGAAAGTATAGTGTTCCTGGGTACTCCCATCCTTTTTTCTTATATTGTCCCATTATTAGTATCTTGCATTAGTGTGGCACATTCATCACAATTGATAAGCCAATATTGTATATTATTATTAACTAATCCATAAGTTACATTAGAATTCACTCTTTGTGTATACATGGTATGGAAATGGCAAATGTATGATAACATATCCACTATTGTACAATCATACAATTTCACTACCCTAAAATCCCCTGTGTTCTTCCTGTTTATCACCTCTCCACCCCCTTGCCCTGGCACTGATTTTGGTTTTTTGTTTTTTAAAAGAGACAGGGTTCTCATTCTGTTCCCCAGATTGGAATGCAGTGATCACAGCATAGTGCAACCTTGCTTAAGGGATCCTTCTGCCTCAGCATTCTGAGTAGCTATGATTGCAGGTGCTCACCACTACACCCAGCTAATTTTTTTTTTTTTGAGACAAAGTCTCACTTTGTCACCCTCCGTAGAGTGCTGTAGCATCATAGTTCACAGCAACCTCCAACTCTTGGGCTCAAGTGATTCTCTTGTCCCAGCCTCCCAAGTAGTTGGGAGTACAGCTATACGTAACAATGCCTCGCAATTTTTTTTTTTTTTTTTTTTAGAGACGGGAGTTTTGCTCTTACTGTGGCTGGTCTCGAACCTGTGAGCTCAGGGCAATCCACCTGCCTCAGCCTCCCAGAGAGCTACGATTACAGGCATGAGCCACTGCACCCAGCACCCAGCTAATTTTTTAAAAAATTTTTTTTCTAGAGGTGGAGTTTTGCTATGTTACTAGGCTGGTTTCAAAGTGTTGAGATTACAGGCATAAGCCCATTTTTTACCTTACCTAGTCTGTTTTGTTTTCAGTTGATGAGCTTTATTGAGGTTAAAACTGTAACAAAGTCCTACTGCTTTTTATACTGTCTGTATAGTTTTAGCTTTTCCAAAATGTAAAATTTATACATTGGAATCCTACATATAATTGGAATCATACATTAAACAATAATACATCATGATTAAATAGTTTTCATCCCAAGACTGCAAGGCTGGGTTAACATACTCAAGTCCATAAATGTAATTGACCATGTCAACAGAAGCAAAAACAAAAACCATATGATCCTCTCAATAGATCAGAAAAAGCATTTGATAAAATTCAGCATCCTTTTCTAATTAGAACATTGAAGAATACAGGTGAAAGTGGCACATTTCTTAAATTGATCAAGGCCATCTACGACAAACCCATAGCTAATATTATACTGAATGGAGTAAACCTGACGGCTTTTCCACTTAGAACTGGAACCAGACAAGGTTGTCCTCTATTACCACTGCTATTCAATGTAGTGCTGGAAGTTCTAGCCAATACAATCAGGCAAGAGAAGGAAATAAAGGGCATCCAAATGGGGGCAGAAGACTTCAAATGTTCACTCTTTGCTGATGATATGATCTTATGCTTAGAGAACCCCAAAGACTCAACCACAAGACTCCTGGAACTGATCAAAAAATACAGCAGTGTCTCAGGATATAAAATCAATGTCTACAAATCAGTAGCTTTTGTATATGCCAATAGCAGCCAAATGAGAAGCTAATCAAGGACACAATTCCCTTCATGGTAGCTTCAAAGAAAATGAAATATCTAGGAATATACCTAAGAGAAGAGGTGAAGGGTGTCTATAAAGAATATTACAAAATCCTAAGAAAAGAAATAGCAGAAGATATCAACAAATGGAAGAACATACCATGCTCATGGCTGGGAAGAATCAACATTGTTGAAATGTCTATACTTCCAAAGCAATCTACAAATTTGATGCAATCCACATTAAAATACCAACATCATACTTTCAAGATTTGGAAAAAATAATTCTTCATTTTGTATGGAACTAGAAAAAAAAACCATATAGCCAAGGCAATTCTTAGTAATAAAAAGTGGGGGACATCAGCCTACCAGACTTGGTTGTACTACAAGGCCGTAATGATCAAAGCATCATGGTATTTATTGGCAGAAAAATAGAGGCGTTTGGAACAGAATAGAAAACCATGAGATGAAACTAACATCTTATAGCCACCTGATCTTTGATAAACCAAATAAGAACATACTCTAGAGAAAAGATTCTCTATTGGGAGAACTAGATAACCACATGTAAAAGACTGAAACTGGACCTGTACCTTTCTCCACTCAACAAAAATTGATTCAAGGTGGATAAAAGATTTAAATCTAAGGCATGAAACAATAAAAAAGTGTAGGGAAAACATTTGAAGATACTAGCCCTGGGAGAGATTTTATGAAGAAGACTTTAGTGGCAATTGCAGCAACAGCAAAAATAAACAAATGGAACTTAATTAAACTGAACAGCTTCTGTACTGCTAAGGAGACAACAACCAAAGCTAATAGACAGCCTTCAGAATGGGAAAAGATATTTGCATATTATCAATTGGACAAAAGCTTGATAATTAGGATATACAGAGAACTCAACCAAAAAAGACCCAACAATACTTAATATCACTGGACAAGAGAGATGACTAGAACCTTCTCTAAAGAAGACAGATGGGGCAGCACGTGTGGCTCAGTGAGTAGGGCGCCAGCCCCATATACTGAGTGGCAGGTTCAAACCTGGCTCCGGCCAACAAAAAATTAGCTGGGCGTTGTGGTGGGTGCCTGTAGTCCCAGCTACTCGGGCTTCTCTTGAGGTGAGAAAAGTGCCTAAGCCCAAGAGCTGGAGGTTGCTGTGAGGCCACAGCACTCTACTGAGGGCAACAAAATGAGACTGTCTCTAAAAAAAATAATGATAATTAAAAAAAAATTTTAAAAATAAGACGGATGGCTAACATACATATGAAAAAATACTCATCATCCCTAATTATCAGAGAAATGCAAATCAAAATCACTCTGAGAATGGCCCATATCACACAGTCTCAAAGCTGTAGGACCTGGCCTGGATGTGGAGAGAAGGGAACACTTTTACACTGCTGGTGGGACTGCAAACTAATAAGACCTTTTTGGAAGGAAGTATGGAGAATCCGCAAAGAACTCAAATTAGACCTCCCATTTGATCCTGTAATCCCATTACTGGGTGTCTACCCAGAAGGAAAAAATCGTTTTATCATAAGGATATTTCCACTAGACTGTTTATTGCAGCTCAATTTACAGTCTCCAAATTGTGGAAACAACCCAGATGCCCACCAATCCAAGAATGGATTAACAAGCTGTGGTATATGTATGCCCTGGAATACTATTCAGCCATTAAAAAGATTGAGACTTTGCATCTTTTGTATTGATCTGGATAGAGGTGGAACTCATTTTTTCTAATAAAGCATCACAAGAATGGAGAAGCAAAAATCCAGTGTACTCAATTCTAATATGAAGAGAATAGATGACCTAATACATGGTTCAGGGTAGGAGAGTGAGGGAGTGGAGAGAGGGCAAGAAGGAGGGGGTTGGAGGGTCCCCAATGTATGACACACTTCTTGGGGTGCAGGACACAATTATAAGAGGAACTTTACCTAGCAAATGTAATCAGTATAACCTAATTCTTTGTACCCTCAATGAATCCCAAACAATAGAAACAAAATTGGAATCCTTGCTGTGTGCCCTTAGTTCAGTGGTTAGGGCACCCACCACATGCACCAGTGCTGGTGGGTTCGAACTCTGCCCAGGTGTACTAAAACAAACAAACAAAAATAGCCAGGAGTTATGGCAAGTGCCTATAGTCCCTACTACTAGAGAGGCTGAGGCAAGAGTATCACATGAGCCTAAGAGTTTGAGATTACTGTGAGCTATGATAGCACAGCACTCTACTGAGGGCAACGAAAGTGAGAGTCTTCTCAATTTAAATAAAAAAGGTTGGAATCCTATAGTATGCAGCCTTTTAGATTGGCTTCTTTAACTTAGCAGTATCCATTTACTTAGGTTTCTTTTCCTGAGTCTGAACTTTATAATGTAAATTTAAATGTTCTGGGGAAATCAGCATTGTGGGCTTGGATGGGATATTCAGAATGGAAACTAAATAAAGGAATTGATTTATGTTCTTATTTATGTATAATTTAGGTAGGAGACCTACCTGATGCAGATATTAAACCTCCAGAAAACGTGCTGTTTGTTTGTAAATTGAATCCAGTAACCACAGATGAGGATCTGGAAATAATCTTCTCAAGATTTGGGCCAATAAGAAGGTAATCCCTATATTAGTGAGGGAGAAATTTGGAAAACCTAGGTATTAGTTGATGGTTTTCTAATGGTATATTTTTGGTGAGTCTGTGAACTCTGGGGGAATTTTGTACTGGTGACTTTTTATAGGCCAGTCTTTGGACATTATGGAAGAAAAATAAATAATGAATGTTTGTTCCACTCCCAACAGAAACATTTTTACTTTAAAACAGGAGATGAATGGAATAATTTAAACTTAGTTCTGTAATATTTTCAGCAATTTTTTTTTTTTTTTTGAGACTTTGTCTCACTATGTTGTCCTCGGTAGAGTGCCGTGGTGTCACAGTGACCTCAAATTCTTGGGCTCAAGCTATTCTCTTGCCTCAGCCTCTCAGGTAGCTAGGACTACAGGTGCCCACCACAACACCCAGCTGTTTTCTTTTGTTGTTACAGTTGTCATTGTTGGTTAGCTGGCCCAGGCCAGTTTTGAACCCACCAACTTCAGTGCATGTGACTGGCATTGTAACCACTGGGCTATGGGCACTGAGCCTCAATAACCTTCTTTAATATTTAAAATATTTATCTCATTTAATTAACTACTGGAATTATCAACAATTTAAGTTGGAATTAATTTAAATCTAAATTTTAATAAATTTTTTCTTTTGGTTAATTTTCCCCGCGTTACTAATGTAAAAGTTTTTGAAGCTAGTATTTCTGTAAGAAAGGGGTCTATTTTGTAATTAATTAAACACTATTGTGTTAAGGATTTCTTTTTTTTTTAAGAAACACAAGTCTCACTTTGTCGCCCTCAGTAGAATGCTGTAGCATCACAGCTCACAGTAACCTCTAGCTCTTGGGCTTAGGTGATTCTCTTGCCTTAGCCTCCCAAGTAGCTGGGACTACAGGTGCCCACAACAATGCCTGGCTATTTTTTTTGTTGTAGCAGTTTGTCCAGGGCCAAGTTCAAACCTGCCATCCTCGGTATATGGGGCTGGCGCACTACTCACTGAGCCACAGGCACTGCCCTTTTCATGTTTTTAAAATGAGACTTACATGTGGGGAAAGGGACAAGTTGGGTCTTTCAGCTCCTTATTGGCCCTTTCATTTGGTTATTTTGATAGGTTAGTTCTGTGTAATAGCTATACTTAACAGTGTTAAATTTGAGCTTGGTTTATATTAAAATTCAAAAATTTCAAAGCATATACTTAAATATTTACATGTTATCAATGTGTATACATTGTATAGTAACATTAGATATTCTATAATTCATCCATATTTGGCTCCGAAATGCATTATGATATAAACATTTTTTAGGGGATTACTTTTCCCAGAGGGAAATTAAATATTTCTATTCTTCTTCACTGCTAAGGGAATATAGGGCTGTAGGCCTACACAGGGCATTTAGAGTAGAATTTAGATAACTTATTTCCTGGATTGGTGAGCTGTTTCTAAAAAAAGGATTATTGTTAAAAAGATTTAGAAAAATGCTATGACTTTAACTTTGCCTAATGATAAGTGGCTTATCTGCTTCTTCAGTTTTGAAGAGTGAGAGTGAATACTTTTTTTTTTAATCACATTTTAAAAACTTTTTTTCAGTTGTGAAGTTATCCGAGATTGGAAGACAGGAGAGTCCCTCTGTTATGCTTTTATTGAATTTGAAAAGGTATGTCTTTCTTAATGCAGATTATTAAGTTGGCATTTATTTTTATATGGTATTAAAATGTGAAGAATATAGAACCTTTTCTGGTTTTTAGAATTACTCTTGAGGCACTCAAGAAAATTAACTTTATTGTCTTTATTGTAACCAAACGGGATAAATTTAGCATCTATTAATGTAAAATATGTATACCTTTACTTTAGACTCAGGTATAGTTTGCTCAAATATATGTTTAGAACTTTCCAAGTTTTGTCTTTGCACCCATGGCACAGTGGTTATGGTGCTGGCCACATGCACCGAGGATGGCTGGTTCGAACCCAGCTCCTGCCAGCTAAACAAGAATGACAACTGCAACAAAAAAAAATAGCCGGGCATTGTGGCGGATACCTGTAGTCCTAGCTACTTGGGAGGCTGAGGCAAGAGAAACACTTAAGCTAAAGAGTTTGAGATTGCTATGACCTGTGACGCCATGGCACTCTCACAGGGCAACATAGTGACTGTCTCAAAAAAAAAGAACTTTCCAAGTTTTATGTAAAATTCTTTCTATACCTTTTTTTTTCTTTTTAATTTTTGAGACAAGAGTCTCACTATGTTGCCCTCAGTAGAGTGATGTGACATCATAGCTCACAGCAACCTCAAACTCTTGGGCTTAAGTGATTCTCTTACCTGGGACTACAGGTGCCTGCTACAACACCTGGCTATTTTTTGTTGTAGTTGTCATTGTTGTTTAGCTGGCCTGGGCTGGATTCGAACTGCTAGTCTTGGTTTATGTGACTGATGTCGTTAACCACTGGACTACAGGCACAGAGCCCTTTGTATACTTTTAATGATTTTACAGTGTTACTTATGTGGAGACCTTATGGAGTAATAAAAAACTAAACTGGGTATTAAGACCTAGACATTAATCCAAGCTCAGTAACTAGTTAATTTTATGGTATCTAACAGGTTATTTATTTAGGCCTTACCTTCCTTGTAAATAAAACTTGAGTATTAGATTAGGTGGTTCCTTCTAGATCTGTAATAATGATGATAGCCTGTGTTGCTCTAATATTTTAAATCAGGCATTATGTTAAATTTTCCTGCATTTAATCCTCATAAGTCTGTAAGATAGATACTGTCCTCCTTGTGCAAATAAGTAGAGACAGTGGTAATATATGACTTGTTCAAAATTGCACACCTAGTGATTATCATAGCTAGGATTTGAACTTGGATATGTCTCTATACCTATTGAGTTTAGCTCCTGTGCTATACTATATCTTTGTGTAGCTTTGGACTAATGTTTATCTAATAGTAGCTCATTCCAAAGCACTTATTGAGCACTTTCTGTTTCAGGCACTGTAGTAAAGCCTAGTGAATATGGAGCCTTGAGGAAAATAGACACATAACAGATTTACCCAGACACTATGTCAGATGTACTGGAAATAATATACAAGGTACCTTGGAGCCAGTAGAAGGGAGATCTTTATTTTTGACTTGCTTTGGAAAAAAAAATTTTTTTTTTCCTTTTTGAGACAGAGTCTCACTTTGACATCCTGGCTAGAGTGCTGTGGCATCATATTTCACAGCAACCTCAAACTCCTGGGCTTAAGCAGTCCTTTTACCTCAGCCTCCCCAGTAGCTGGGACTACAGATGCCTGCCACAATGCCTCGCTATTTTTAAAGATGGGGTCTTACTCTTATTCAAGCTGTTTTCCAACTCCTGAGCTCAGGCAATCCACCCGTCTCAGCCTCCCAGAGTATAAACAGTCAGATTCATCATACATACATCTGCCTACTATGTGCCAGACATTGTACTAAATGATGTAGATGAATAAAGTCTGTATATTCATAGAGTTTGTGATCTACTTAATTCTTGACACATGGTAAATAAATAAGATTATAACCAGTTTTTATCTGCTTCTCTTTGAGTTGTCTCTATCTAGAAAGTTGTGAGCAAACTAAGGAGTATTTCCAGAAATATAAAAGAAGATTTACCAGCGCTAGGTTGAAATGCATCACTCTGTAGTCTTCAGATGTCAGAAACAGAGATTTAAACTTTGTGAAGTTACTGACAGAAAGGATTCTTGTGTAGTATAGACCTTGGTATCACAGACCCACATTCTATTAATAAATCCAAAATCCTTGGAAATAGATGGGCTTCCAGATTTAGAATTTTTCAGAATTTAGAAATGTAAATATGCATACTCACACATATACACACATATCTGGATTATATAATACCATTCAAGGTCAGCATTCCATAATCAGTCACATAAAATTATTTCTGCTATGATATGAATAAATAATTTTTTTTCTTTTTTTTTGAGACAGTCTCACTCTGTTGCCTAGGCTGGAGTCCCATAGCATCAGCCTAGCTCATAGCAACCTCACACTCCTGGGTTCAAGAGATTATCCTGTCTCAGCCTCCTTAATAGCTGGGACTATAGGTGCCTACCACATACCTGGCTAATTTTTCTATTTTTAGTAGAAATGAGGGTCTCATTCTTTTTTTTTTTTTTTGAGACAGGAGCCTCAAGCTGTCCCGCTGGGTAGAGTGCCATGACATCACAGCTCATAGCAACCTCCAACTCCTGGGCTCAAGCAAGTCTCCTGCCTCAGCCTCCTGAGTAGCTGGGACCACAGGCGCTTGCCACAACGCCCGGCTATTTTTTGGTTGCAGCCGTCGTTGTTTGGTGGGCCTGGGCTAGATTTGAATGTGCCACCTTGGGTGTATGTGGCTGGTGCCTTAGCCACTTGAGCCACAGGTGCTGAGCTGAGGGTCTCATTCTTGCTCAGGCTGGTCTCAAACTCCTGAGCTCAAACTCCTTGGCCTCCTAAGTGCTAGGATTACAGGAGTGAGCCACTATGCCCAGTCACTGCCAAATTAATTTTTTTTTTTTGCAGTTTTTGGCCGGGCTGGGTTTGAACCCATCATCTCTGGCATATGGGGCTGGCGCCCTACCCTTTTGAGCCACAGGCGCTGCCCAATTTTAATACTAAATTTATGAAAACAGCTTTCACTTTCCAGGATGATTTTGGATTATGTACACTTGCATATCACAATCAGTAAGTATATGTATGTCCATTATAATCAGATTGCCTCAATTTAAAATTTTGGCCCTGACCCTTGCTATCTCTATGATCTTTGACAACTTTTGTACCTCTCTAAACTTTTGTTTTCTGCTTGAGAAAATGAGATAATAATAGATAGTACCCATGGGGTTATTGCCAGAGTTAATTGAGATGATAGATAGAGGGCATTTAAAGCATCTAATGTGTAACTAGTATTCAAGTATTAATTTTAGTAGTGGCGGCAGCACCTGTGGCTCAAAGGAGTAGGGCGCCGGCCCCATATGCCAGAGGTGGCAGGTTCAAACCCAGCCCTGGCCAAAAACTGCAAAAAAATAAAATTGGACTTAATTTTAGTAGTGGCTTGGTGCCTGTAGCTCAGCGGATAGGGCACCAGCCACATACACTAGAGCTGGCAGGTTTGAATCCAGCCAAACAACGATGGCAACTAGAACCAAAAAATAGCTGGGCGTTGTGGTAGGCACCTGTGTAGTCCCAGCTATTTGGGAGGCTGAGACAAGAGAATCACTTAAGCCCAGGAGTATAAGGTTGCTGTGAGCTGTGACACCACAGCACTCTACCTAGGGCGACATAATGAGACTCTGTCTCAAAAAAAAAAAATTTTTAGTAGTAACAAACCTTTTGTATTTTTAGTATTTTAGCTACAGAAATGTTGTCTATAAAGATTTATGGTTGAGGTTTTATAATTACTTTCAGGAAGAAGATTGTGAGAAAGCATTCTTCAAAATGGACAATGTACTTATAGATGACAGAAGAATACATGTGGATTTTAGCCAGTCTGTTGCAAAAGTTAAATGGAAAGGAAAAGGTATATTGGTATATCTTTCTTTTTTTGTTCTGCTTTGCATGCTTATATAGATAGCCTTTGACTTGGTAATGTTAATTAGGAGACATGTTAATTGATAAACTCTTGCCATTTGTGATTTTACAAACCTGCTTTCTAGAGAGAATGTGTGTGGGTGTGTCTGTATTTTAAACTGATGAAAAATATCTATTTTCTATGTGGACTGTATTATAAACCACTTATAGTTATCCATTGCAGACATGACTACATGATGTATTTCCAAAGTTGTTATGACTTTGTGGTGGTTTAATTCTTTTCTCTTTTTTTGAGACAGTCTCTTACTCTTGTCTAGGCTAGAGATGGGATCTTGCTCTTGCTCTTGCTCAAGATCGTCTTGAACTCCTGACCTCAAGTGATCCTCCTTTCTCAGCCTCCCAGAGTACTAGGATTATAGGTGTAAGCCACTGTGCCTGGCCACAGTTTGATTCTGTAAAACTTAAAAAACAAAATTTTTTTAGGTTTGTTATAGTTGTCATATAATGCAAAATTGAAAAGGCCTGTATCAGTATATAAAACACCAATTTATTCTTTCAGTGGCTGGTCAGTGTATTAGTGAATATATATATCATAATTCATTGAACTAGTCATGTTACTATGGACATTCAGGTGTTTCTGATTTTTTGCTCTTCAGCATGCTATCCCCTTGTACATATGACATTTTCCACATATACTTACATGTGTGTTAAATTACTAGTAGCATGCCAAGCTTAAGGTTGGGTCTGTTATATGCTGAAATAAAATGAAATTTTTTTTTCTTTTTTTTTATGGTGACAGTGTCTCACTCTGCCACCCTAGGTAGAATACCATGGTGTCATAGTTCACAGCAACCTAAACTCTTGGACTCAAGTGTTTCTCTTGCTTCAGCCTCCTGAGTAGCTAGGACTACAGGCACCTGCCATGATGCCCGGCTGGTCTTTCTATTTTTTAGTAGAGATAGAGTCTTGTTCTTGTTCAGGTGGGTCTTGAACTCCTGAGGTCAAGCAATTCACTCACCCTGGCCTCCCAGAGTACTAGGATTATAGGCGTGAGCTGCCACCCCTTACTGAAGTTTTGATTTTTGATGCAGTGTTTTATTTAAAAGATTTAACTTTAAACTTGGTGTGGTGGCTCATGTCTGTAATCCCAGCACTTTGGGAGGCTAAGGTGGGAGGGAGGATCATTTGAGGCCAGGAGTTCAAGACCAGTTTGGGCAACACAGTGAGACCCTTTCTCTGAAATGAAAAATAATTTTTTGAGACAGAGTTTCACTTTGTCACCCTCAGTAGAGTGCTGTGGCATCATAGCTCATAGCAATCTCAGACTCTTGGGCTCAAGTGATTCTCTTGCCTCAGCTTCCTGAGTAGCTGGGACTATAGGCAGCCAAAACAGTGCCTGGCTAGTTTTAGAGACAAGGTCTAACTCTTGCTCAGGCTGGTTTTGAACTCCTAATCCACTCTCCTCGCCTCCCAGAGTGTTACACTGTGAGACACTGTGCCTGACCTCTACAAAAAAATTTTAAAAATCATCCAGGCATGGTGGCATGTGCCTGTACTCCTAGCTTTTCCTGGCTGATACAGGAATATCACTTGAGCCCAAGAGTGTAAGATTATAGTGAGCTATGATCACTGGCAACAGAGTAAGATCTTGTCTCCAAAAACAAAAAAGATTTCACTTTGGTAGTTATTCACATGTAATAAGTGAATTTTACTAGGAATGTTAGCATTACTTTTTTTTCTGTAACACTTTTCTAAATTGGCATTAAACACCTGTAATCCACCTCTACCACATATCCAGGAGTTGAAGGCTGCAGTGAGCTATGATTATATACCATGGGCTTCCAGCCTGGACAACTGAGCAATACTCTCTTTAAAAAAAAAAAAATTTTAAGGCCTGGCACTGTGGCTCATGCCTCTAATCTCAGCACTCTTGGAGGCCGAGGTGGGTAGATTACCTGAGCTCACGAGTTCAAGACCAGCCTGAGCAATAGTGAGACCCTGACTCTAAAAAAATATAATAGCTAGGTGTTGTGCCAGGCACCCGTAGAGACTGAGGCAAGAGAATCACTTGAGCCCAAGAGTTTGATGTTGCTATGAGCTGTGATGTCATGGCACTCTACCAAAGGTAGCAAAGTGAGACTCTGTCTCAAAAAAAAAAAAAATTAATAAAAATGAGTAAATAAATACTGTATTACTTGTGTGTAATTTATTTGAAAGTGTGATTATGTAATATTCACATATATCATTAGGTGGCAGCAGATGGCTAACTGGCTGGATATCTGATTTCAGTTAATAGCAATAGAGATTGAATTGCTGTAATTCTTTTATTCTCTTCTCACCCTTTTTCTGTGTCTGATATGTTACCATTTATGAATAGTTCTTATACGTTTTATGAAATAATTATTATTCTTGATTAATTAGGTGATTACTAAGCTCTTTTTTTCTTTTCTTAATAAACAGGTGGGAAATACACTAAGAGTGATTTCAAGGAGTATGAAAAGGAACAGGAGAAACCATCTAATTTGGTTTTGAAAGATAAAGTAAAGCCTAAACAGGAGTATCCTTAACAAGAATCAGTTATTCAGTATGTATTATATTGACCATGTGTCACGTGTAGAGTCCTGTGTGATGGGTTATAAAAAGTCACGGAGACTATAGGAGACAAGGTTCCTGAAGTCAGATTGTGAACTTAGCTTATCATTACTGCTTTTCGGCTCGGTGCCTATGGCTCAAGTGGCTAAGGCGCCAGCCACATATACCTAAGGTGGTGGGTTCAAATCCAGCC